AATGTAAACATTGCCATGTCTTCGATTTTATCGAACTTGGGTGGGTTCTGGGGGTGAGTGTCAGATTCCTTCACTGTCACCGTTGTTTCATCTTCCTTCTGGACCGTCACCATCCCTCCGTCCTTGCTCAGGATTTTTCCTTTGACATATTCTTCTTTAGTGTCGACTACAAAACATTCAGTCTTGATGTCAAAGGGTCTGGTCTGAGCCTCCAGACGCTCCTTCTCAGACTTCCTCAGGTAAGGAGCAGCCTTCCCAAACTCGGCCATCAGAGAGTCGCCCATGCTTTAGGGTGGAGAACGTTGGCAGTCAGAGGAGAGAACAAACTAAGTGAGAGAGTTTTCCTGCTGAAGCTGATGGAGAACTGCAGTCTCCTCACAGCAGGTGATATTTATAAAGACTCCCTGTGGACCAAATTAGGAGATCACAGCTGAACTAAATCTGTCTGATCAAGTGAATGCACCATGAGGGCAGATTCAGGACCTTTGGCTGTTAGAGTCCATTTTAGGAAAAGTGAAGTTGTACCGCTTATCTGCTGCTGATAGTCCCGACATGTCTACATTTAGACTGCATCCTCCCTGGAGCTCATCCTGCATATCCTCTACCCTTTAACATCCACCGTCACAATCACTTAACAAACATTTAATTATATCCTTAGCTATCCTGTAAACGTCTGTTAATATATTAACACAACATTAATATTAATAACATTAATATATCATGTATAATAACATGATGACAGCAAATATGAAAACAGTAAGTTAGTGTGCATGTCTTGTTTTTGTGTGCTTCACTGCTAGTGCAGACTCTCTCCACATGTGTACAGATTTTCCTGTTTTAATGTTAATTAATTCGTTAAAAAATACAGAACACAAATTATGGATTAGTTCACTTGATAATAAATTTTCTCAGTTTAAATGAACAGAAAACTTAGATCATTGTCTTCGGCCCTAGTGACCATTACAACCTTGGCCCCTTAGAAAACTATAAAAAAAATCTTTTGCGAGAAATTTAGGTGTGATTTTTGATAGTAAATGGTAAATGGCCTGTATTTGTATAGCGCTTTACTAGTCCCTAAGGACCCCAAAGCGCTTTACACAACCAGTCATCCACCCATTCACACACACATTCACACACTAGTAATTTAACATTCGATAAACAGATAAATAATGTGATCAAGACTAGCTTCTTTCACCTCCACCTACTTGCAAAGGTGAAGCCAATTTTCTGTTTCAGAGACATTGAGAAAGCAATCCATGCCTTTATTTCATCTCACCTCGACTTCTGCAACAGCCTCTACTCTGGTGTCACTTCATCATCCATTGGCTGACTACAGCTGGTTCAAAATGCTGCGGCAAGGCTCCTGACTGGCACGCGCAAGTGAGAGCACATATCCCCAATATATGCCTTGCTACACTGGCTGCCAGTTAGTTTTCGAATTAATTTTAAGATCTTGACACTTGTTTTTAAAACATTGCATGGACTAACTCCTATATATCTTTCTGATCTTCTAAATTGGTATACTCCGGTGAGAGCTTAGAGGTCTGGGGACCAAATGCTTCTAGTTGTCCCTAGGTCTAGATTAAAACACAGAGGAGATCGGGCTTTTACTGTGACTGCTCCGAAACTGTGGAATAAACTGCCTTTACATATCAGGGCCTCTCCAACACTGGATCCTTTTAAAACTCGTCTAAAGACCCATTTTTACTCCTTGGCTTTTAAGTCTGTATGAGTCTGCCATTATTTCATTCTTATTATTTTCTTATCCTTGATTTTACTTTCCTTTTAAGTTTTACCCGATCATTCTATTGTACAGTAATTTGGTCAACAGTTGTAGTTTTTAAAAGTGCTATATAAATAAAATTGATGTGATTTGAGTTTATATTATTGCCGTTTTTTGTGATATGACTTATATAAAATCCACTCTAATGTGCCAACAGATTGAAGGAGGAATTTTTAACAGGACAACCATTCACTGTCACATTCACACCTGTGGGAAATTTGTATAATAACACGATGATAGCAAATATGAAAACAGTAAGTTAGTGTGCATGTCTTGTTTTTGTGTGCTTCACTGCTGGTGCAGACTCTCTCCACATATGTGCAGATTTTCCTGTTTTAATGTAAATTAATTAAAAAAAAATACAAAACACAAAATTATGGATTAGTTCACTTGATGATATTACTGCCGTTTTTTGTGATGTGATTTATATAAAATCCACTCTAATGTGCCAACAGAATGAAGCAGGAATTTTTAACTGTTTTTCTCCATCCATTAATTCCATTTCAGGATTTCGGGGGGGCTGGAGTCTATCCCAGCTGTCTTAGTGCAAGACGTGGGGTACGCCCTGGACAAGTCGCCAGTCTGTTACAGCAGCGGTCCCCAACCTTTTTTGCGCCACGGACCGGTTTATGCCTGACAATATTTTCACGGACCAGCTTTTAAGGTGTCGCAGATAAATACAACAAAATAAAACTAGTACCGGTACAGAAAAAAATAAGATTTATTCATAACACATGTGAAAAGACCCAGGAAAACCGAGTTAACGATAAAAACGATAACAAAATAACGCTAAAAAACAATAAAAACCCTGAAAACCATACATTTCACACCCGAGCCTCAACTCTCGCGGCCCGGTACCATACGACTCACGGACCGGTACTGGTCCATGGCCCGGGGGTTGGAGACCGCTGTGTTACAGGACAACCATTCACACTCACATTTGCACCTATGGGAAATTTAGAAACTGCATGTGTTTGGACTATGGGAGGACCTGAGAGAACCTATGCAAACCCAGGGAGAACATGCAAACATGCAAACTCTTTTGAAATTAATCATCTTAATTTCATCACCTGTGGAGGAGATACATGAGAAACATAAAATTACAGAAATGCACAAAATTAATAACTTAACATTTAAAGTCATTTAAAGTCTCAGGATGTCTCATCTGTTCAGTCTGACCAGATAAAAAATATCAAAAACCTTCACAACTTAAATCTTCAGTGAACTGAGCTCACTTAGCCCACATTTCCATTATGCTTTGCAGGGATTATGATGGGAGTGTAATGTGTCCATTCAGAGCAGCTTAAAGATCTGAACATCACCTCAATGCTGTTAGTGTGACACACCGAATAATTACAAAAGTCTTCGTGTTTCCTGAACAGCAGCAATCAGAGCTGAGAGTGAAACTGAGAAATGCAACTTCAGTGTGACTGAACATGAACTGCATGAGCCCAAGTCCTTCAGCTGCTTTAACCTCTGGACTCGGGTCGCGTTAATCTGTGATATGCAGGCGAGCTGTGATGGGCTCGAGTGTCTGCGTCTCTTTATCTGTGGCAGTCGAGGCTCCTCTGCCTCCAAATAGAAACCCAAGACTCTGGAATCAGTTTTTATCTGCAGCATGAGGACGAACGGCCAGCTGGCAGCAGCACGAGGACTCGCTCTGAACCTCAGTGATCTTTAAAATGAACAGATTAATAATCCTTCTGAAACTTCTGAACCAGAGGAAACCCAACAGGAATCATATCCGACTTGTTTTTACCAAAGTGAGGTCCTGAAACTGAGTTTGTTTCAGAGCTACTGAGGGTTGTAAAGGACAACACTCACACTGGAGGAAGAGACAAGGGCTTTAAATGTTTTACAAAGGTTGTTTGAATGTATGTGTGTAGGTGAAACTGGAACACTGAGACTCTGAGCAGCGTTCATGATGTTTAAATCCACAGTTTCAGCTGAAAGAGGAAGAATAAAAATGAAAACAGTTTGTTGTGCTGAAAAACCCAGTGCTGAAAAATGAAGCCAGTTAAAACCGCTTTGAGCCACTGTGCATATAAACTTTGGATGCTTTTAATGAAATCTGAACATTTCTAACTTTTATTTGTCTAAAAGTGATAAAACGTTAAACTCCAAAGACTCTGATTTTTAGTTTTAGGTACAGAACTTACCACATAGTCTGTAAAGAGGGAGGCCTTTTAATTATGATTCAGCATCTCTGAGAACATCATCAGTGCAGCAGATTTGCACGTGAATGTTCAAAACTGCATTTTACACCCAAGACTAAATCCGAGGAACAGAAACCAGCACCTGCATTTAGAGACCAGGATCATCTTCTACCTGTGATTACCTATGTATACCACACCTGCACACACCTGAAAGTATGAAGATATTAAACTGGCCTCATGAAATATATTAAAGTTAGTGTCAACAAAAGGAAACAACCAGAATTTAAAAAGAAACAGTTGAAGTGAAGAAAGCAGCGTGATACACACACACACACACACACACACACACACACACACACACACACACACAGACACATGGATGATCTGATAGGCTGATTCCATTCTCTCAGAGCTGGTTGGGATCCTGCAGGTCTCTGAGCTCAGACACACACCTGTAAATCAATCAGTGCAGACTTTTGTCTTTGGAATAGGAGCTAATAACTGAGTAAGCGAGTGGCTCCGACATCTCTTATTCCCTGATGAGGAGCACATCAAAAGGTTTTTAACCTTGAGAGCAGGGCACCAGGCTTGAGCTACTGGGAAGTATTTCAGGACTCTGTGGCCGTTTGCCTGTTAAACTGAAATCTGTTTGGAAAAAGAGGGATTTTTAAGACTTGGCTGTTGTTTAAATAAAAATCTTGGACTTTATTTCTTTTTTAGTAATAAAAAAGCTAAATGAAACCACTCAAAGCAAAACAAAGTGATGAGCTATTAATTTTTTAATTAAAGCAACAATCTTTGTAATTTTCTCATTTTGATTCTTGTTATGATGTTTTAACGTAACTGGATTAACACGCGTGTCATTGTCCCCGTTTTAAATTTATAAATCTAGATTTTCCACCTGAAGAGGTAACATCAGTAACAGGTCAAGTTTGGACTTTGTGAGGGAGTAACCGGATGTTTGGCTGCAATGGCGTTTTCTCTGTGTCAGGATCCATTTTAGCTTCAATAAAAATATTTATAGGACTCAACAAAGAGACAAACGGGAAAAGACAAAAAGGTTAATAAAAAAAATTTAATCTGCATCTTTTGTGCAAAGTCACATTGAAACTGTGCAAAGCTTCAAAATAAACTGATCGACAGGAGGAAGAGCTCATCATCATCATCATCACGGGGTAAAACATTTTCCAGATGAAGAGCTTTAAATCCAGAGCTGACCCTCTGCTGATCTCTGCTGAGCAGCATTGATCAATTTATTGGTTGTTTATTGGCTCTGATACAGAGAGAAACTTCTTGAAGCCAGAGGATCATCTCCGGCTCTGCTGAAACGAACGTGTCTGTTTTCACTTGTTTGTTTGAAGCTGTTCTGCATCCACAGCTCTGAGCTGATCATTATTATTGATCTGTGATTTAAAGGTATGACGTCGGCTGTAAAATTACTGAAATGCTGTATAAACTAGGATCTTTGAAAACATGAAGGAGCCTGAAATGTTCTAAAGTTTAAATTCTCCATTTTAAAAACCACTCGCCCCAGAGTAGCACCAACAGCTGTTCAGCAAGTCTGGCCAATCAGAGATGAGCTGATGCGCAACCGAGCCATAATGAGAGTCTCCCAGCTGAGTCTCAGATGTCTTCGGAAGAATCAGGGTTGGGTTCGTGCGAGCCTCTTCAGATGGGTCTCGGGTGTTCAGCAGAGTGACATGTGTTTGCGGTACTGCTCCACCAGAGGAACGAGGCAGCGTGGTGAGCCGGCCTGCAGCATGAATGGATGCTCCAGCAGGTCGGCGGCGCTGCTCCTCTGCAGCGTGTCGCGGATCAACATGCAGCCCAGGAAGTCCTTCAACACGGGAGACACCTGGAGACAAACACAGTGACATCATCAGTGACTGTCAGGATGAATGATTACATCATCATCAAATACTACAACTAATCTGGGCCCACGACCCACAACCAGCATATTAGCATTTTAGTAACTGATGTTCAGAAAAAATCTGATTTTGTGTTTTCAGATTTAACTTACATGAGAACGAAGATGTGACAGATAAAATTTAGAAGGACCCTTATATGTATGTCTGTTGGTCCTCAAAGCATGTTCAGGCCTCGGGTCCTCACTCCATATAAAAATAAAACTAAGTGTGTGTGTGTCTGACCCGCTGGACGTTCTTGACGCTTGGCGCTGCTTCGTCTCGCAGCTTCTTCATTGCAGTGATGGGCGTGTCACTGAAATACGGTGGCTCTCCATCAACCATCTCCACCACCATGATTCCCAGAGACCAGATGTCCACCTGAAAACAGGAAATGGCATGCTTTTAATTTGTGCGTGTGAATGGGTGGATGACTGAATGTAGTGTAAAGCGCTTTGGGGTCCATAGGGACTAAGTAAAGTGCTATACAAATACAGGCCATTTTTTTACCATGTTAATTTGAAATAAGACCTAGAAACGTAACTATTTGATGTTTTTTTTAGTTTTTATGTGAAACTGTGATTGGTTACTGAGAACTGTGAATATCAGTTACTGTAAATATAAATGTGATATTTGTTTAACCTTGTTCAAACTGAGGTTTGGACTTTTGTTTAACTCTAAGACTTATCCTAAGACTTATCCAGCTTTTTTCCACCAGTTTAATCGACTTATTAAATTATTTGGCAGGAACATCCTTCATGTGCTCGTCTTTACCTCGGTGCCATATGGCATTTTGGCGATCACCTCAGGAGCCATCCAGTATGGGGTCCCGACCAGAGACTTTCTCTTTGGGACTTCTTTGCTGATCTGAGCGCAGAAACCAAAGTCGGACAGTTTGATCTGCAGCAGGATCCAAGAAGGAATTTCATAGATTTACTAACAGAAAACCTCTGAGTATCATTTTCCAGCTGTTTGTGTGACCGATACTCAGCAGTTTTTCATACATATCTGACTGAGGCTTGATTAGTCACTGTTATCAGGATCTGAAAACTTTATTAATCCCAGAGGAAATGATGTGGTCACAGTTTCTCCAAGACAGCAAGGACAAAACTAACAAGTTAAATGTCATGAAATAATGCAAAATATTATATTACCAAATAGCTCTAATATACACAAAATTAAATATAGATAGAGTTCAAGTTGAGGTGTCCCTCATACTGGCGGTTATTTTCTTTGCACAGGGTGTGCAGGTATTTAAGGTGTGCAGGTATTGGACTGTGTGCGGTGCTTTAGATGGAGGAGTTGTACAAAGATATCCACAGGCAGGAATGATTTCCTGTGTCGTTCAGTGGTGCATTATGGGTAAACAAATGCTGTGTCCCAATTCAGGGTCTGCACGCTTGAAGTACGCATTTTAAGTGTGATTACGTCACCGCCACGCAACTACGGCTGTCCCTATTCGAAGTGTACTTCAAATGCATACTCCAAATGCGCTGTTGATTT